ATCTTTTTTAGGGATGACTTTTGAGAAAGGTTTTCATCCTTATAGAGCTTTTTGCGCCGGTAAAAAACACCTCTCATTGGTTTTTTTATTAACTGCAACATATTTAAAATTCAGCAAAATTGGAGGCGCAGGATTGGGAATTCATCCATGTCAGTATTGTAGTGACGAACGATTGCCAGAAAAAATAAGTAACACAATGCATAGCAAATGATGAAGATTCTTGTTTATTGTTTGCACCTAGCTTCATAATACCTCTATCTTAACTATTGCACACGATTGAAAAGCTGTCCACATTTACGTTGAGAAAAGCAATTCACCTCCAACTCTTTTTTAAAAAATATTTAGTTCACGCATACTTTCGGGTCAATTACCAGAAAAAAGAATAATGTAACAACAGTTACGATCGATTTACATGGATTTATTTCATATAAGTTATAGACTCCTGTTGCTATACATTATTTTTACTGCTGTAGTGTCACTCTTATGCAGATCATCATCATTATAACTTCAGCTATAGCTGCCTTTATTCTTTTTCTCCTAAACTTTCTTGCTCCTTATTCATTTCGCTTTCATTTGTCTACTGGATGAACGAAACTTGTTGATTGTTATTTGATTGATTGATCTTCTGAGCTTGGTAACATTACTAATTTTATTTATAATTTGCTAAAAGTTATGCCAATAAATGTAATTGGTTAAGATGATGTTAAAAAATAATTTGTAATTCGCGTTTCCGAGAGTAAGCAAGAAGTTGACACGTAAATGCTCTATAAGAATTAATATTTCAATAATCACCGAATAGCAAACACAATATTCGCTGTTTCGATGAGCCGTTTAAAATACAATTGAGTATTGTTGCATTTATCGAGGAAAAGCCCGACAGTGCCGCAACGAATATTCAATTTTATTTCTAGGCAATTAATAATTTTGTGAGAGGAGAAAGCCTAAGGGTACTTTTTCTCATAAGAGAGTCTTATGAGTTGAGCGCTTAGATTATCGTAAGGAAAGGAATTAGCAGGCTAACCACTGAATAATGAAATCAGTCTCAGGAAATAGCTGAGTCTTTATTTCATTTCAATGCTCGCGCTGCTAAACAAGGTAGGATAGTGAATCCTCTTGCCTCAGCGACGAGCGAATTTATACTTTCGAAATTGGCTCCTTTCTACGCTTGGTAGCCCCTACAATGCTATTTTTAATATTAGCATAAACTTTGTACAGGTTTTGTCGCAAAATGGCTCGAACGAAATTGAAATTTAATGATTTAAAAAATCAAGTATGGAATAACAAATTTTTTAACATTAATCGTTTCTCAAGAAAAAATCGCCTTTTAAAATTATAAGTGATGTAAATTAGGTATTTAAATAACACAGAATTTACAATAAATTTACGGAAAATTTTTACATAAAAAAATCGCTTGTGATGAGTGGAACATTATTCAAAATAAAAACGATTAACTTAACAATCCAATTTTGAATAATAATTAAAAAACGAATTTGTAAATTTCTCTTTTAGCCATTATAAAATCAGCAAATGGGAAACAATCCTTATCAGTATTTTATATGTATGTATAGTTAGATCGCTACCTAGCAACGCAATTTTAATTGTTTAAATAAATTATAAATTTTTTATTTATTGATAACTCAGTCAAAAATCAGTTATCAAAGTGTCAAATTCTTGCTTTTCTGTCTTAATACGTTACGATCGCTGTTATATATTCGAATTTGCAATATACTTATTTGTTGTAAAATTACTAGAGATATTTACTTGCAAATTAAATCAAACTAACAAATACATATTTAATGACTATAATAACTTGAGATTCGAGATCAGCGCATAAAAATTAACTGTAAAATGCTTTTGTTCATTAGAATAGACTTTGCAATTATCGATTTGCATTGTAAAAAATAATTTCCCCACGCTCGTGACGTCACGCTCCTTATATGGTCTTGTTTTCGCCGAATTACCCTAACACATTTACACGTACGAGTATATGAGAAAAGCGCCTTCGCTCAAGTACCACTTTTCTTCAGTTTTCTCGTGCACGACGGGTTGCTATTTTGCAGTGGGAGAAAAGGCAAATCAGTCTGGACCATTACAAAGTCTTATAAATTAGCGCCCAAAAATCTAAGATTTAGAAAAATCTAAAAAGTAATTATACTATTAAATGAAGCGTATCCAAAATAATAAAAATCTTTTTTTGTAATTCATTTGTGCGGGATCATTTAAGCACCTAAAATAACAAAAACACATTTAGGTACTAAATCCAGTCCCTACATTTTATTTAGACCATAAATCTTTGAAAAATTGATGAAAATAAATTTTGAAATTCCAAGTCTTTTAAGCAAGAGACCCTTAAACAGCATTCATGCTAAAATCATTCATAAATTAAGCGAATTATAAATAAATAATTCATTTCTAAATTATTAAATACTATGTGCTTATGTTGTTATTTCAGTGCACATACATTTCATATCATAATTTTACTATAAAAATTATTCGTATTTTCATAAAGTTAATGAAGATTCTATATTGGCTTTAAAAAAATACACTACTCTATATTGATTAAATAAGTAGACCAGGAAGGCAACCACTACTATGAGGTAGAGAATAGACCTTATGAGATGTTTTTTTGTAAAGTTAGCGCCTAAAGATAAAAAATTTAGCATATTGGATAAATTGATTATACCTTTCGATTAAATAATAAAAAATATCTTTGCGCGCTAGACTAGACGTCTCACACGGCAACGACGCCTATAATCAAATCATCCATAAACTTATACATTAATTAATTTAAATTTTATAATTTTATGGCCTGAGCATAAGAGTGAAGATGACTTGCTGTACATGCATCGTGTGTCGCTGTTAATATTGATTATGAGGGTGTTTGCAAAACGATTCTGACAGGATAAAAATTATAGTCATTTCCATAGATGAGTGTTGTGAATTTTACATAACATGATTACTAGGATTTTTTTAATGTCGCCAAATTTGATTTGACAACATCTAGAACGCGTACATTAAAGTTTGATTTATATAATAAATACATCACAGGTTTGATTTTTAAGGCATAACGAAAGTAATGATTAGATTATATATTATTAATTATAGTCATTAATAAAGTGAAATGTAGTTTAAAGTTGTAACGGGGTGTGAATTCCGTTTTAATTTCTTTGTCTTGCTCGATGCGCAGTCGTACCGGAATGCACGCGGCGAGATCGAAATAATCAATTCTATTAATTAACCGGAGAGCTGGAGAGGACAGGTGTCAGTCAACCAACTTACTAATAGCAATGACAACAACAGACTAACGTTTCAATCATGCATGGACTAGTTTATTTGTCGCGTAATCTACAACGTTCTTGGCCCGCGCACTTACGCTTATACGGTGTGCGCGACAATGTTACGTATTGTCATTTCATTTACAATCGTTCGATCGAGTTATTTGCTTGCATACTAACTAACGATTTCCTTGTTTTCGCCGGTATGAGGGGAGAGCTAAGATGTTACGCGCAGTCGTTTATCGAAAACAATAAAGCGAAGCTGGCCAGCTTACCTTATGTGATTATTCGCACGATCAAGGGGAGAAGTTCAATGTCGTAGTTTAGCGCGTGGCTCAGGTTTCCGCTTTTCCGCTTAGACACGGGGCTCTCTCTGTCGTCAAGCTGCTTCCGTCGGACGGATTCCGTAACCTCGTGGCTGGCCTCCAATGGCGTCTCAGCTAGCCACTCGAACTCGCGGCAACAACAAAGAATTACAGGTCGTCTAACGTTCATGCTCCGTGTGGCGTTCACGCGCACGCACGTCGTTGCCGATGCTAAAGGCACTCCAAGGTTCGGGCACGCTATTCATGACTTTCGGGTAGCTGCATAACTCTCGTGTTAGTGCTCGTGGACTCCTGCACATTGTTACAGGTGTCAAAGGCGCTCTGCCACTGGTCCTTTTCTCTTCGAACGCGTTCCTTCCCATTTCGAACCGAGTTCCCGTTTTCGACTTACCCGGACCGTAGTGCTGTCCTCACAGGCAGCCGCACGATCGAAACGGTAGCGTACACCGGACGTTTACCGTCACAAAGTATATAAAGTTCTTTTCTAAAGTATATTATATGTTGTCTATAATTTTTGTATATTGTTAAATTTCACAGCTATATCTCCATGTTAAATTCATAATGTACAAATTTTTTGTATTTTAAAAGATTGTCCTTTTTTCGTTATCAAAATAATTATTTGCACCGGCTGCGACTGGTGACTGCGAGTGCAGACATCAATGTCTTTGCAGTATATGTACTGAAACAATAATGCAAGCATATAATGTTTGATAATTGAGAAATTAATTTTTCATTTATAATTTGTTTAGAATCCAATTTATAGGAGATTTTACCATGAGCACTGTTTATACGTCTCAAGCTCAAACGATATGCTGTTTCAAAATTAATTACCATCAATTTCTAAAAGTTATATGACCTAAATAAAATTTAGGTTTAGAGCTCAGCGCCTAAAAAGTTTTTTTTTGTTATTTTAAGTGGTTATATGATGACAAACAAATGAATAACACAGGATTTTTTAATAATTTTGGAGACGCTTAATTTAATGGTGCAATTACTTTTCTGATTTTCCTAAGTTTTCGATTTTTGAGGGCTAGATTCTAAGCCCTGGTGAATAAGGGTCGGAAAATTTTTGAATAGACGTTTCTATTTATGCTGTTATCATCGTAATCAGGAATAATTAATACATTATGACGATAACGGATTAATTATTCCGAATAATTCAAAGAAATATTTTGATCATTTTATCCTACTAGACTCTTTAAGAAGTCAAGATGATATATTTGTTTGGTATTGCAATACCATAAACCTCGAGTCGTCTATTAGTTGAAGCAACTACCTGGAAAGCAGGTAATCATGAGTTCGATTTTTCACGAGGTAACAACTTACAGATAAATTTAACAGATATTTTATTGAACCAGTATATTAAATTGTATGATTATTATAAATAATATTTACTTACTTTAATACTTGTGTAAATGTTAGATTCAATCAATTCTTCAAGTTTATTGCTATTCATGTAAAGCCAAGCTCCAGTTGCAATTTGAGCAACTATAATTATTAACAAACAGCTAGAAAATCCAACTAGCATACATTGCGATTCTTGAAACGCTCCACAGCAACCGAGAAATGCTATAATGAACATTATTATGCCAGCTGTTAAAAAAACGCAGAGACCAGCATAAAAATGTGGTTTATCTTGAGAAAGTGTAACTAAAAATGTTTGATCTACGAGCATCCATATTGCAAGACCAACTGCAATTATGCCGACAGTCTGTAACAATTAATAAAAGAAAGATAAAATAAAAAAATCGCAATTCAAACATTTTCACGAAATAGGAGAAAATATCTCTTTAAGCAATTAATTAAAAAACAGCAATCATGAAATTTAAAAATTCTTATAAGTACAACTATCAAAACTATCAAAACTGGATTTTTATTAAGTTATTAGAATTAAAATACATTCTTATTTTACCATATTCATGATATACGTACAGAATCAAATTATAGATAAGTGATAAGTAAAAAATTTTAGAAGAAAAAGAAAATTAAAATTTTTTATTTTTGTCAGTTGATTCGTTATGAATGCAAAATGGTCATCATTAAAAGATAAAAATCAATTTTAGGAATAGACTATACTTATGTAAAATATCCTGGGAATATAATTGTACTTTGTATTTTACTATTAGGTTAATAGAAATGAAGATAGAAGAGGAAAATCAAAGAAATCTTTTTTTCAGCTCATTTTAAATAGCAATATGTTCCAGTCTGATTTTGAAGCCAAAATATTTTTCCATTATCTATCAGACAACTAAAAGTTTTGATAAAATCACATAATTAAAATGGTCGGTAACAATATCTCAGAAATGTAGGCCAAAACATATTTTACTAAAAACAGAGAAAAAGAAAATTTTCGATATTTTATTTCATTTCATATAGTACATTGTTGAACAATAAATCTTATCTTCCATATTTTAAATATTACGTAAATCGAAAGTTATAGCAGGAAAGTTGAAAGCGAGAATTCACACTAAATTATTAAGTTTTCCATCGTTGTATTTTATTTTATAATTTTCAAGTATAACGTTATAAAACGTTGTATTTTATCTTGAACTAAATAAAAATCTTGAATTAAATTAAAGTTAAAATGAGCATAAATTAGTCTCCAATGAGTTACACCTAAAATGTATTGTTTTAGGTATATAAGTTTATTTAATTATAAAGTATACTGTTTTAAATATATAAGCATTTCTCGCGAAATGCGTGGCTTTGCGCTATGTCGAGAAGGAAGTCATTTCCATACGCGAGCTCCGTATATATAACGTTGGGTCGATATTTGGCTATTGTTTTTACATTCGTGGCGAGGAACTTCGGTAGATCTCAGCCGTGTACTCCAAGTACTTCCGCCACAAGGCCTCATTGGACCGCTTTCCCCCGACTAATAATACGGGTGCCAGACCACCGTTCCTAATTTACGGTGATGGTCGGGGATAGGGTCGGAAAATTGCAACATAGGTCTATTAGCCCATTGTGCGACTGCGCAGAGTGGGCAGGTTGGTGACCTCGCGGCAATTTCCTTTCCTCAGGCCGATGATATTAACCAATCGTTGATCTTCTCCGTCCTCTCACGTCCTGGAAGTGCCGACAGCTCAGGATACGACTCCTCGTCTATGGTCCGATATTCGTTCGGTCTAGCGCGTAGGTCACCTAACGCTCGGAACCAGTAGTGAAAACAAAAGAATCCTCGCTACAGACCGTTCGCGGCTGAAAATAAAATTAGCATGCAGGGAGGGAAGGGTCAACGAGGCGTAAATAATAAAGACTGGTCACAATTCACTTTCCTTTATTCGGTGGCTAGGGTGAAGATGCGGTTAGAATGACGGATGGTCAGCGTGGCTCGACGCGATTTAATGCGTTGCTGAAACGAATCCACGCGTCCTGGCGAATCAAACATGTAACGAACTTTACGCTCGATCCCCAATTCGTAACGGTAATTTGAACTTCATCTAGATATCTAAATCTCCCTCGGTTCCTACACTCACGTCAGTTCGAGAAATGGCGGTTGGTCAGCGCGACTTGGTCGGAGCATATTCCCGGCGTCGACGAATCCACGCATAACGACGGGATTGGCACAAAAAATCACGCACAACACTTCGCAAATATCATTAGTGAGTGGCACTTTGCCTACTTACAAATTACAACTGAAAACTCATTCGGTGAAACTCAAAGTCCTTCTATGGTCTCAGCGAATCCAGGAATTACTTCCAACAGCGTTAGCGATCAGCAGAAAAATGGACGAGAAACGGCTGTTTGCGGTCAAAGATCCTTTTTTTTTCTCCTCTTTCCGAAAAGAAATCATATTATTAGCCGATATGCTAATTCGAATATCGGTAGCGCCCTCTGAATATTTCATCATTGGTCAATATGCAAATTAGGAAAGTAACAGCGCCCTCATTTTATCTCCTACTTCGTCGCTATTTACTCTCTCTCTCTCACCCCTTCCCCCTCCACTAAGTCGGCCAGCATTGATTGATAAGAAAGATCTACCCCTACTCCTATTTATTTTTCGTTGCAGACAGAAATCAAACTTTATTTTAATTCGCTTATTGGTCGTAATGTCACCGGTAAGGTTCATCAGAGGTTCAAATTTCATGAATCAATTATCAATTTCATTTGTCAGATTATTTGTCGCTTATTAGTAGCGGCCGCATACTCATACAAGTATTTTCCAACTTTTTTATTAGTACGTTTCATATTTTAAATCGCATCGCTAGATATTTTGCAATACGATACAATAGTTGTATGTAGGTTTTATCTTCGTAGCGCCCACATCATCTAGTTTGCGTTCGAATTAGTATTGTATTTATTCTAGTTCGCTCGCTTACATATGGTCTGTCTCGCTCGCTCTTGTTTAGTCTGTCTCGCTCGCTCTCGTTCAGTCTGTCTCGCTCGCTCCCGCTTAATCTATATCGCTCTTCAAAATGGCCGCCCTCGCTCCCGCGTGTTAACGTCGTGCTCTGCTGTCGGTCTCCGAAGCGCCTCCTGGAGCGCTCCCCCTCGGTCGTGTGGTATATGTTTGTATCTGGGTGTTCTGTGTGTTCGTCTCCGGGTTTTATTAGAGATCAGCAGCAGTATGTGTGTGTGTGTGTGTGTGTGGTGCTCAGGATGTCGCCGATGGTGCGCAGCTGCCTGATACAGCTGATTGTCGGCTGCCGCTTCATAGACGATTTTCTTGTCGCCCCAGGTGTGTCAACTTCTCTAAAGTATCCGTGTCGGTGCCTGGGTATGTAACATGTCCGCATGTATCGCTAACATGCATTCCCAATACATTTTCTAGTTAAGTTTTCCGTGTTTTTCCTCTAGTCAGCAACACGTGGTCGGGAGTGTGTGTGTGCGTGTGCTCTCTTTTTCTCGTAGTGCACTCCGTTTTTCGCTCATCCGTCGGATCGCGTTCTTCGACTTATTGCGTCGTTTCCTCGGACATGGGTGGGCGAAAATGGAAATAAAATAGTGTATCGGTGGGAGAGCGAGTCGTGTATAATTATTAGGTTGGTTACGAGGACTGCAAGGGACGGAGATGGCTCCTCTGAGGTGTTGCAAATAGTGCAACACTCTCAGTCAAAGCCTTGTAATGCACCGCATTACACTTTTCTAATCATGAAATCTTACGTTTTCATTTATTTGCTACTTATATTTTATTCATTTCAATTCCATACATTGAGTCATTTACTCATTCACTATGTATCCATGATAATTACTAGTGAAATTGGATTCGTTTATTATTTGTTCAATGTCCAATATTTTATACTCGACGTAATTCAACGAGCAGTTAGAGCCTACTACGCAAATCTTCAATACACCCATTACGCCCATTTTCAACATTAAAACCTACCACAGTAGGCATGCTATGCAGTTATCTCAGACTATATGACGCTACTAAAGATATGCACTTCATTGTGTTGTAGTATATCGATTTACCCGATTTGTTATTATTACTACATGTAGAATGTTCGTTTAAAAAACTATTTATTTTGTTATTGTTCGTGGGTTAATTTTCTCACATTGACGAGTAACACGTTAACCGAATTAAAAGAAACCAAAGTTTTTCATATTGTGTGTTCTGATTTACTACGAATATAACAGCATAGACCCCTTTATTAAGTCTATTCATTGATTAATATATTGGAATGTTTCATCTATTAGTTATTTATTAGCTGATCAGTAAGACATAATACAAGTTTTTTTGGAGTCTTCGACGTCAGCGTTGATTTACGCTTTAAAACCTATGAAAAACTGTTTGATCAAACAAAATCAATCCATTGATTGCTTTTCTTCTTCGTTTTCCATCTTGCATTATAAATACTCATTCATGGTATGAAAAGTGCCATTTATTTAAGCGACATAAGCTTTTAATTCATTCAAAGCCAACGTGATAAGCAGACTTTACTTACGAAATTCTTTTTGGCAGGTGATTTACAATCATAAGAATAACACAGCTCCACAAAAAAAAATGAAAGTATTTTCCCCGATATCTGACTGTATGTTCTTTATGTTTTTGAGGTCGCTGAATCCGAATCCGGGGTCCGTTTGACTCCATCACGTCAGGGTGAAGGGCATTTGAAGATCAAATTGCGAATCGACCCGTTAAAAAATTTTATAAAAATTCATAATATATTTTTGGGATTCCTGATTCCAAATCCAATCTTTTTTGAACCTCAACATGTCAGAATCAAGGTCAAACGGAGGTCAAATCATTCAAATCGGATGATACAATATTTTTGACTTCAGATTCTGAAAGAGCGGAAAATTTTACGTCCGAATACGTAGTAACTTTTTTTTTAAACCGACTTCTGTAGGTCGCGTTGCGGTTATCCAAAATAAGACTTAGATATCTATTTTTGGAATCTGTTGGCAGCGGTTTTTTCCATGTGTTTGCATCCAGGACACCTCCCCGTGGTGACGGCGGGCAACGGAGTTGTCTCGCTATCCGGCAAAGTTCCTGGGTCATGATGCTCATGCCGTCATGGCAAACACACCGGAAAAACTTACGATGCAGGGGGTCGGAACCCCAGTATCGGCGGTTGGTCAGGGTGAGAAAGCGGGCCCGCAGGCGTCGTCATCATGTGACCGTAGCTTTGTTAAGGTGGCTAACTTGGCCTCACCAAAGTATAAAGCTACAAGTATAGCCAGAACCTCTAGACATGAGCATGACAACCCGGAAAAACCAAATTATTTTTGTTACGTTTGTGCTGCATACGCACCACCATATAGCCG